TACACATGTACTCTGCGTGTGTCCTGTAACGGACGATTTTAAGATATTTGCCAATTTCGAGAAATCGAAGTCTAGATTATCTTCTTTTCTTTACAAATAGACGATCCTTGAATCTATCCTTGAATTATCGAAGCACACAATCAATGAGGGAATTTGATCGATTCGATTTTGATTTTTGGACAGGTTGGGAACAAATGCGACGAGAGCCCGTCGGTGCGCGAGGTGTCGATGAGCGAAGGCGCCGCGGAAGCGGCTAACTGGGGCTGTGGTTTCCTGGAGACGTCCGCCAAGATGGATCACAACGTGAAAGAGTTGTTCCAGGACCTGCTGTTGCTCGAGAAGAGCAGACCGGTATCGTTGCAGCCTGTGGAGAGCAACAACGCCATCAGTCTAAAGGAGAAATGCTGCGTGATGTAACTGAGCGAAACGTAAGGGCAGCCAGAATTAGAGGAAGAGGTCGCATCGTGTACGAAGAAGAAGACAAAGACGAGAAGAAGCTTATTCAGACGACGAAATTCAGTCGGCGATTTTTCAATACGAAAACGTGGCGTCGGCCACGGTAGTCTCGACACGACCAATAGTTAGCGTAGGTTAGATATTGCGCGAACGAAAGGGACGATAGATATCGGCGAGAGTATGTGTCGTACAGGGTGTATCTAATGCTCTTTGTTCATTACAAGAAGCTTATTCCTCGCGCTGGTAATTAATTCTCCGGGGTGTTCCTTTTCTTTTTTTTCTTTTTTTTAGATCGATTTTTTTTTTTTTAAGATGTATCTCGCATGTGTAACGTGCCGATTGTTACGACGCGCGTCGATTCAGAGCATTAGGACCGCTTTGTAGTCTCTTTCTAGCCAAAACCGTATTCTATCTATACTATCGATAGATTTTTTAATTTTGATACAGAGCTGATACGCAACTCAGTCCGTCTCCTAGGTTTCACCAGACCAACGACGCGTACGCGTTCTTCATTCTGTACCAGTCGGCTCGTTATAACAGTCGGATCATTGTAACGCAACATTCTGACCATCCACTCGAGCTATACCAAGCTTATATATATACTATACAAGAAGGGACACCATCATTCTGGCCGACGACAGCCGATTCAGACCAAGAACCGATTTAACGAAAAAGAGAAAAAAAAAAGCGATCGTCCTTTTCGTGCCCAGCGGAACAAAGTGGATTTTCCTTGAAAGAGCAGCCAGTACAAAGCTTGAAGCCTCGACTATATTATTCGAGACTATGCGTATCGATGTATGACTATGAGATATACACCGAACACGTTCGACGATCCAACGCGCAAAGAATCCGACGCTCTTTCACGAAAATCTTCCACGAAACCGTTGTCCGAGACTACTAACGTGACGATCAATTTCTGGGATTGGTAGTCGCGTAACGTTTCTCCATCCGCAGATGGAGCATAGGGACGAAACACATAGGTGCGAATAAGAAACGACAAAATTAGATAAAAAGTTGTTACAAGATTTGTTTTTGTTGAATAGTTGTAAGGTTTTTGTAACGATGCTAATTAGGATTTATTACTCGACACTCGTTGATTGATACAATGACATGTACCTACGTACACTTACATGTACGCACACGTATTCCAACAACACACAGAGAGGCTTGCATGTTATACACGTACACGCACACGCGTGCACACATACATATACACACAGACACACATACAGATTCGTTAGGCACCACGCGTTTCCCGTGTTGACCCAGATTTTAGTATTTTCCTCCTTGTATGTCGTACACACAAGACGTAGGCGTGTTAGTGTTTGCGAAGAGACGCTAATTAAAGGGACTCGCGGCGAAGGGCTTGTTTGTTCCTCAACTCGAGTTTCGTTCATCTTGTTACTCGCGGTTTATTGTTGCAAGCGGGGTTTCCTGGATCTAGTTTGGGCGAATTTTTCCACCATTGATATCTCTGCTCTTTAATACTACTTTATCGTTGATAAACGAACAGAAGGAAAGAGATATACATATATATTTCTGGAATGCAATTCCTCTACAAGCTAGACCGTCGTCGTTAGCTTGAAAACTTTGCTCAAACTGTCCGCCTCGACATTGTTAGAGCGACCAATTTACTATAATTTCCTCTGTATTTAGCTGTTAACTCGGTAAACGTCTCTGTGTCTGGTGGGGACCGGGACCCTTTTTTCATTTAAGAAAACGCAATGGAGGTACGAGTGGGTAAAGACAAATTAGTTTGTAACTTGGCCCAGTAGACTATCTGTGTTGCTCGTTTCCCAGCGGACATCAACGAATTACGGTTCCAGCCATTTTGTACGCGGTCCCCATCTTATCTACTCGTGCCGATGTTCAATCCCATCGTACCCTCATCGATAGCTTTAAGAAACGAACGCTGTAATTCTGTCTAATCACGTTCACGGGACGAAGTACCGTGTCGATATTACGATAGACAAACGATCGGTGTCATTACTATGATCATTATTATTATTGTCGAATCGCGGATCACTGAACGGTTATTTCACAAATGGATCACACGTGTCCTGTATTGTAATCGTCAGCATACGAGCAGATACACGCGTGCACCGGTTTTATATCGTTCTTGAAACTTCGTTTGAATCGATTTTAATAGACTGCCTAATGTTCATGCAGTTTCATACATTTATGAATTTCCGTGAGATAATTGGCAAGATAAAAGATTTCAAGCTTCACGTAAACGCGGTATGCTTTGAGCAGCGCAGGAAAGAATTCGGTATGATTTACAATTAACAACTAGAGAAGCTGCTGACCAATTACGTGCTGAAATTGTTCCTGTTGATTGTTGCAAAGGTTGGATAAGGTCCGTAACGATGTAACGGCCAGTGTTGCGTCAATTTCTCAGCGACACGATGCACAAACGCACACATGCATATCGTGCACTCGCGTATCAGTGCAGTCTATGTACATACACATACGTATTTACTGTTATATTTAGACACAAGGTTAAAAAAGAGTCTAGTCAAAGGCGATTCTGACCTTATGAAATTGACCCTCAGTACGCTGAGAGAAAGAGACAAGAGAGAGAAAAAGGGTGGCAAGTTAGGGTTGGGAGAGCGGGAGGGAAAACGAGGAAAACACACACGCATACACACACACACACACACACACAC